AGTAACAACACAGCTACAATGTCAAAACACAGTAAGGCAAAGGTGCTAACTAGCAGGTACTTTAGTTATAAACAACTAGGCCTGTCGCAATAAGCAATATTTTAAATTAAAATGAGTTCGATAATTTCCGTTTGCATGCTTGTTTGTTTTCCTTGTGTCTCCCGCTCTTTCTACTAAAGAGACTGGGTGACCCCTCCCCTCTGCGCTTCATTAGCATAGGCAGTAGTGAACTCTTACGTCAGGTACTTGCCAGGAGAATGGTCTCGTTACGTATCTCAGAGTGTAGCATTAGAGCCCCCATGACTACTGCCAGAGAAACGCTAGTTGAGATTTGGAAAACAACACATAGAATTGGTTTCAAAGCAGAACGCAACCGCTGCAATGTGGGAGCACTTCGGCTTCAAACCGATTGACCGTGGTGAACCACTTCACCTGTGCAAGCCGGTACATCACATTTGTTGTAATATAGTAGAAATTAAACTCGGCAATACAACAAACCTGCATCTGGACCGAAAACATAATCATCTGATGCAGTTTTCCCAGCTGGGAAACAAAACTACAAATGGGCCGTCTTCGTCTTCCTGATAGTCCACAGTCACTGGAGCGTTTAATCTGACAGACTAAAGTAGCTACAGGTTCTCATATGGCCTGTTGAGGCATCTGCTCTTATTCACAAATGGAGCGCTTTTGTTGTTGGTTTGCACTATTTGTTTTTAAAACCGTCGGTTTTGGGTGTTTTCCCTGTCTGAACCTAATGATTAATATTTTTTGAAGGGCAATTTTGCTTACAGAGAGTTCATAATCCATTTTATTTATTGTTTTTGGTTGTTTATCTATTATGGATATTTCAAATGTCTTCCAGTTACAGGTTAAAATGTTATTTAGAAATCAAAGTTTATTGATCTTGAGAGGGTGTAGCTACTTGCATTATTATGCCATTATGATAATATTAATTGAAAATGGTCTCCAAACGACAATTGTTAATGTTATTATTGTGCAATACTTTCTGGGACAATTTATTGTCCTGCAAAATTTGCAATCTTGCCAGGCCTATAAACAACTGCTGTAGTTTTTCACTTTGGAGGATAATTTGTCAAATCATAAAATATTATTTGTGCTAGGAGACAACGAGACGCTCATGTACAAGTATGACCAAATGATTACAATAAACTTGTCACAACAAATAGGGGCAGGAGATCTCACTTTGGAACCTCTTTTCATTGGTTGAAACATGCGTCACTGGTTCAAAATCACGTTTGGGAACTGGAAGGGGCTTCAAACAGTGTTGGTGGAAAAGGGGTAATTTTGAAGTGAGAAAGAAAGTGGTTCTTCAGTTGTCCTCTTGTGATGAGGTAGTAGTATTAGTAACGATGCTTTTGGGGACTCAGTAGAAAAAACAGAAGTGACAGCCAGAGTACAAACTAGTAGTAAACACTGAGAATACGGTGACCGACTAACCATTAGAAGTTAATGACGCTCAAATTAGCATCTGTATCGTAGCTTCTCGTCGGTGCTAAATTAAAGACCCTTTTTAATAAATCTGAATTGCATTTGGTCAAACCTGAACTGAGATTCCTAAGAATGATTTTACAATTGTGCAACATCTATTCAACTTGTGAAAACTCAAAAAGAGTATCTTCTTTGCTTCTATAGCAGCAGGACCATAGCACAATGATACCTGCATGAAAACAACAATATATGGACTGGTCAATCCTCGACTGCAATATTCAACACTTATTACAGATATTCAAAAATGCTGTTTGTGATTTGTGAAATCCCCGCTGCATTCATGAAAACAGAACATGGGGATTCTTGGGCTTCACAGCTATTAAAATCTGTTTTTGTTCCTGTTTTCTAAACTCAGTGTAGCTTTCCATCTCTTGAAACAAACTAAAAACCATGCAGAACAGAGGCTGGTAATGCTGGAGCAAATGCTGGTTTTATAGGTTGCAGAAGACATGGTTTAAGTACACAGAAGAAGAAAAAATTAACATCTACTCTGATCCAGCTTTATTTTAAAAACAGCATCACTGGATATTATTTGAAAAACTCACCGTCAAAACAAAGTTTAACTGGAGATAAACAGACTAAGGGGAACAGATGTATTTATTTTTCCACTAACAAATACAGCATTGTATTCTGTTAGAGTAAAACTGTATTGGTGAGCTGTTTGGGGGAATTACTGGGGTTTTAAAACAATAAAAATGTCTCGTTACATTGTTAGAGATTATTAGTCCTCAGGGTAAAAAGGTCAGGGTGTACTGACGGTGAGGACTTTAAGATAATAGACTTTAATTTTTTGGCAAGAATCATGATTTATTTATTTATCTATTCATTTATTTATGACAGAGGAAAACGTATGTTGACCTCCCACAGGGTGTCCCAAATCACCTGCAGTGGACGCTGCAGGACAGCAGTTGCATTCATTAGTGCCTACAAAGCTAATAAGGCAAAGGCAAGGTGCACAAAGCAGTGAGAGGATATTTAGATTGCATTCGTTGTTAAAATGATTGTTAAATAGACTTCTGCCCCCGGAATGCTTATATTGTGTAGCTCCTAGTTGCTAAAACAGTCAGCTTTAGAGATAAACGTACTCTTCATGTGACTGTATCCACTTCAGATGCCCAAGTTACAAAAGAAGAAAAGCAATAAAGTGGCCATTAGTATTTTTTCTTTGACAATGTACACATTTATGACCATTTTACTTCCAGTAGAACCTCTGCAGAAGTCTTAAACAGTATACAGCTAAACAGTATACATTTGTGCTGAAGATTAAAGGAACTATTTATTTTAAAATGGATTCTTGGGATAAAGACCTTTCCAAATCATTGTTTGGGGGGGGGTTAAGGAGCAAAAATGAAAAAAAAAAAATGTACTTCATTCCCAGAATATTGAATGTAAATGTCTGACACAGATTGATAACACAAATGAATTAACATTTGGACATTCTTTATATAATTTAATGCTTGATTTAAACTTAGAACCTAAACTGTGCACAAACACCCTGATCAGCTGGGATTAAGTGACATTACCACCATGACACTGTGATTAAAGCATAACATTAATCCAAGCCTCTTATCTTCATAAGTTATAGAATTGTGGTAGTTTTAACTGGCCCAATCTTCCACTAGTTCAACACAATTTATCATGCTAGTCAGATTGATTTTTAACTTTATGGCTAAACACCAAGTTGCTAAATAAAAGTGACTGTGTGACAGAGAGACGCACCAAACAAACAGCAGTGAAGGTGGAAGTGCTTAATATGTTTTTATTGTTTTGGAGAATCGAACACAAATACAAATATGTAAAGTGAGGACTGCCAACTGGACAAATATTTTTATGTTATTTGGGTGATTTGCTTTTCCATCATCTGTCGTTTTTACATGGAAACAGAATTGTGCAACTTTCATAGGGCAATGATTGGCTGAAATTAGCTGGCAGAGGCAGTGGTTTATTTTTCTTTCTGTAACTCTATAGATATGGCTCCTGTGTTTATAATAATTTATTCCAACGAATATATAAAGCCATGGATTTAATTATTTTGTGTCTTTTTTATGCATAACAGCAGCTTAAGATGGCTTGTTGCTTACATTTGCAGAGACTACACAAACAATTTGCTTTGACATCACAGTGGTGTACCAAGAAACCATTTACTGAGTGAAAAACATAGTCATATAGAGTCATTCTAAACATGTTGCCAATTCATTCATATTTAAAACGTGTTACTTCACCTATAGCGCTGTGTGTCATCATCAAGCTCAGTCAAGTGTTATCAGACTTTTTAACCCTGCTTTCAAAGGAGACTAATTCCTTAAGACGGGTAATAATGTTGATATCTGCCTGATATTTTAAATAATGCCAATATAAGTTTATTGGCTGAGCTTAGGATTTAACTGAAGACAAACCAAATCAATATGCCATCAATATGATTGGACTGGGCCAGTTTTCTCTAGATTGACTCTCGTCTGTAATAGCTTGGTCAAATACTGAAAAATCTGGTGTTTTCTGGTATTCTTTAACTACATCAAAACCAACAATCCCCACCATTTTCAGTCTATAAACAGGTTACCAGTGTTGGGAGTAACGGTGTTACAAAATAGCGGCGTTAGTAACTGCGTTACTTTTTCGGTTACGGAGTAATCTAACTAATTACTTTTCTCATTTCTGTAACGCCATTATGAAGTTTACATTGTAATGCGATGCGTTACTACAACTCAATAAACGGGATTTAATAAGAGCACAGTTGACTTGCAAGTTATGTCCGGGAACAAACAAATTATCCATGTCCGTGACCAGCAACTCCAACCTTATGAAGCGCCTCGCATCGTCTCACCCTTCCACAACACTTAACAACTCGATACCTGCCGCGGTCATCGCAAGCTCTGACAATCCTACACCGTGCAAACAGAAAAGGCTTGATTTTTCTGGTCAGCAACTAGTAACATCATTTTAGATTATAAAAAGTAACTGAATAGTTACTTTGCCAAGTAATTAGCTACTTTGATAGCGCAGTAACTGAATTACTAACTCAGTTAATTTTTGGGAGAAGTAACTTGTACCTATATATATAGTTACTTAAAGTAACGTTCCCAACACTGAAGGTCAACCAGGAGCACGTACTTTGATTCATATTATTTGAGGATTTTAAAAATTTGACTCAAATTTCGGGAACATGGTGCATAAATTGGGATATTCTTGTAATTCTTGGACGTATTGATCAAAGTTGAACCTAAAAAAAACCATAACATTGGTATCTGCCAGGATGACGCGATCGGTCCATCTCTAACTACAAGTAGGTTCCATATTGTAACACATAAGTAGAAAACAGCCACTTTATTCACCACTACAATGACTCATCCAAATTCATACTTAGTGGTGAATAGACTGAACCTGGAAAGCACTTTCCCCATTGTACTGACCACTCACAGTAGAGTCACATTCATCTGATCACATTTACATTCATTTAACGATATACCTCGCCCATAGGCATATCAACATGTAGCAGGAGAAAGCTGGAATTGAACCTACAACTTTCACATTGGAAGGCGACTACTCTTCCCACTGAGCCATAGTTGCCTGGTATACCTGTATCTGTACAGCAGTTGTCATATTTGGGTGAAATGTTGTCAGACAACACTGACACTACTTCCATCACTCTTAAAGGCACAAAAAGAAGAGCGGGGAGCGTTAACACAAAAGCAGCCAATGTCTGCTGGACTGAATGACGTCACTTCAACAGCTTGGTGAACCATTACTACACAACCAGCGTCTGAAAAGGCCATCAGAGACACATGGCTCAGGCTCTAATGTCTTGTTATTAGTAGAAGTTCCTGCCTGAAGCAGCCTGGAGGAAAGATGAGTGGCTCATAACTAGCACTGGGATTATTCCAAGGGGAACTGTGACTATCTGAAGCAAAGAACCCACAAAATACCAGAAATTTTAAGTGTTTGCCTTTCCTCAAAATCTGAGTTGTAAAATCTTTAGCTTTTCACTTATCTTCCACAGTAGCCTGAGAAGGTACCATGGATATTCTGCTCTACTATTATTATCCAGTGATAGGGCTGTGCCCAAAGCAGCATTACATTACATGGGCTGGTTGCTGAGTTTTTAAATGAGGCCACAAAGTGAATCTTAATTTTGTTCAATCACAATATGAAAGTGAAATTTATCTGCCAAACTATCTTTAGGCAAACTTAAAAGAGTGTAGCAGACAGACTGAATAAAGGCCAGAAATGACGCTGACAGTGGGAGAGTGGCCACTGAAAGCAGACTACTATTTTCTCCTCAGGGCTTTTACAGCCTCCTTCTCTCGAGCATTTTCTCCATGCGCTTGTCTTGACAGGATGTCAGAAGCGGAACAAAACACACACATACACACACAGAAAGGAAATTTGTAGAGTCATAAAAGCTAAATACAGCACAAACTAGACAACTAGACTCTGAGAGGGCCTTCCTCTTCCGATACTGTCACAGCTGTTTCAGTTTTAACAGGGAGAGATGCTAAGCGGAAATTTTCAACAAGACTTAAATAAAATGAATGAGGGATGAGGTAACTTCATCAGAAAGTTGGTTTATTGGTATTGGTATATATGCATATCTTTATTGCCCTCCTACTTATTATTCCCCTGGTTTTTCCCCATGGATCATGCACCTGTTAGCTTTATCCTCTAAATAAACTGGATGTTAAAACCGAAACTTTGAAAGGTTAAGCATGTCCTGTACGAACATTATCTCTAACAAGCCTGATAAGGTAATTCACATAAGGGCTATTTTCTGTTCAGCCTTGCTCTAATTGTAAAATTGTCCATACTTATGGATTTCAGGGCAGTTGTACAGTAGCTGCAGTTCTATGGTATTTGCATGGTGTGGGCTTATGATGGCTTTCTGGTGTGGTAGATCCACTGCATACTGTTTGTCAGCACGTGAGACAATGCTTCTTTTGAAACCGTCAAATGTTTCATCCCTGTTTGCTTCGGGGTAATCAGTTATTTGATCAAGTGCAGGTCATTTTGCACCTTTGCAGTTTTAGTTGTTTCGCACCCCGCTATATTGGTCTAGAATTTTGCTGTCTACAGCTGCATGTTTCATTGGTCGGTTCATATTCGCCAGGAGGAACAAATGGTTTAAAGAAATATATTCTACTCTCAGTCTACTATAATGAAATTTTATGACTCAGCAGAAGGTAATTTAAAGTTATAGCTGGTTATTTAGGGGTTAAAATGTGCCGTATTTTACAAGATTCAAATGAGGACCAGAACCAAAACAAATCCCTGAATAAGGAGTCATACAAAGTTTTCAGATAGAAATATACATTAGATAAATTATACACACAATTTGAGCATCTTGTGACCATGTATGACCATCGATAGTACATTAAAATACCTACAAAATATGAAAAATAAACAGATTATTTAAATTCATGGATACTAAGGTTGTCAAAACAATACTGTTATATTCAATACTAAAACATGAATTTTTCGAGAATATTCATTTGCATCTAAATCAATGCAGAAGAGCCCTTTATAGCTGAGTTGGCACACAACACACCACAGCAGCGCTGCAAACAATCATCCCTCCTATTCAACAGTAGTAAATGAAGAGTAATCTTTACTACTACTGTTAAATAGTAAATGATTACTATTCAACAGTAATCATTTACTGTTGAAAAACAAATGATTCAGCTAAAACGGCTGTCTATAAAACAAGTGACGTTAAAAGCAAATGTTGTATATGTGTTTTAAAACATTTCTATGTTTTTTTTAAACCAAAAACTTGTCAGAACCCGTCGACACCAAGAAAGGAAAAACCTTTAAATATTACCAAAGACACTTGGTGTCTTTGGTAATGGTGGAACAGGGTGCCATTTGCATTAACCAGATCCTTGTTTACATTGTTAAGAAACCTGTTTTCTAATTTGTTGTTCTAAATCTTGGGTACATACTTTTAACAAATACAGTAAAACATCTAGCCCCTTGTCTACTGCTGTGCTTTACAGCACAGTCATTCTTTAAAGTCATTTACTAAATGACATTTTTTTTAAAAAGCTAATTTAAACTTTTTATCATTTTATGCTGTATAATCAACCAAATAAAACAGCTATGCTGATTTTAAGAGTAACGCATCTGTTGGGGATTAAGCTGATTTCCACAGAAATCTGTACACTTTGTTATGACATGCATATAACACACTTGTGTTTACCAATGATTCAGAAGTGTTTATTTGTGCAGTTCTACATTTTAGTTTAAGGCATAGAATAAGTATTTAACAAAGAAATCAGTGATAATGAAGTGCTAATGAAATGTAACGTTTTACATGTAGAAGCAATGTAGACATCCTTACAGATTTGCTTTGATTTGCAAAATTTGCACCTACCTTACACTTATTTTAACAAGAGGAAATAGTTGATTTTATCCAACCATTCTCTAAGCCCATTGGGTGAGAGGCGGGGTATGGCCTGGACAGGTTGCCAGTCCATCAACGGGCAACACAGAGACAAACAGGACTAACAACCAGGCATACAAAATCATATCTAAGGTGGGAGGAAGCCGGAGCACCTTGAGAGGAGAAACATCTAAACTCCATGCAGAAAGAGACCAGGCAAGGAGCCAAACCTCTGACATTTTTGCTGCAAGGCGACACAGTTCTACCAACTTGACCGGCTTTGAGTGATAATAACCCTTTTTTCAGTCAGTAAAAACATCATACCTAGGTGCTAACATCCTTTTTTCTTTAAAGCAATGGCACTCTATCTAGTGCCGCAACAATTGGATTACAATAGGATTAATCATGATTAATCAAATCAATCAAATAATCGTCAACTAATTTAGTATTTGAACAATTGTTTACTGGAGTATACAGACTCCAAAATTGCCATTTGCTCAAACAACAATTCACTCAGAGCAATAATTAGGACAACATTGTACAAGAAAATATATACAATTTGCATTTAAGATGAAAAACCTTGAAAATATGTTCTATGCAGAACTCCTCAAGTGGCATAGTTTTAGCTTCCCCTGGTTAAAATTCTGTAAAAAATCTCCTTTGCTATCCGATTATTAATCGAAAAAATAATCAACAGATTAATCGATTATCAAAATAATCATTAGTTGCAGCACTCTCTCCCAAACAAATTGTGACATTGCCTCTGCTTCCAACATAAAAAAAATAATAACAGCTTATGGTAAAAAAGATGAAACAAATAGTTTAAATACTGTCAATCATAGCTCTTCAAGAGAAATCAGACTTGGCACGTCAAAGCTTTATGAAACAAAATATATGAAATCTGTAATAAAATATGGTTATTATCACTGTTTTTATTGTTGTTGTTGTTGATCTAAACTGAAGTTTTCCTTCAGTTTATTTGAACTTAATATATTTTCAAACATGCTTTTATGGTATTTTAAAACATTTCTGATTTTTTCCAATCATCCTAATGCTTCTCTGTCATGTAACAAACATATCTGTATGTGCTGAATGATACGCATTTTATTTAAGACATTGAAGTTTAAATTGAAACTCATCGTGAAATATTAAACAACATTGGTTCTGCTGTAGATTGTTATACACTTAATTTAACAAAAATAGTAACAGGTGTGTGCCTCCACAGGGCAGGTTCTGCTTCTATGGGCGCTCACATGTCATAATGAGGTCCCTTTCAGTGTTTGAATTGCAAATAACTGCCTATTGTTTCCACGTCATTTGTTGTGCAAACTTCATCCATCATGTGTCCAAGCAGGTGTGTTTTCTAAAAAGAAAAACAACATGAGATCAACATAGCTCCCTCCTTAGACTATTTCTTTCCATTATTCCAAATAACCAATATGTCTGGCTTTGGAAAACTACATTTCCCAGAATTCGTCTGGATGCTGGCTTGTTAAAATGTCTAATCGATACATGGTCACAATAAACTTTAGTTGAACACACACCGGCAATCCCGCATCAGAGCACTGTTTAACAATATCAAACTACATCCTTATCATCATCTCAGCAGCATTATAAGTAGACGCTGCCACAATATCACGTTATTGTCTAATAGTGCATAATCAACAAGTGCTTAGTCCTTCATTTGATCTGAATCTGACTTAATCTATTTGCCGCTGTGTTAGAATCACAGGCTTTGCTGTATTACAGCTGACAGCAGCGTGTGGTGAAGCAGGCAACAGCTGATGACAGTATTAAGTTGTGACGACAGTTTTGTAAGAGGGCATCAGCTTGATTGTACAGACTTAATGCTCCATATGTATGAGGGTATAAGGAACAACAAGCTTTACAGTACAGCATTTAAAAGACATCACATTACATCTTAGCAAAGATTTCTTTTTAAGCTTGCTTTGTTTGTCTAATGGAAATCATATCTAATGACTAGATTTTGTTGAAAATTCAATAATATTAATATTCAGAAGTAATATGCAGTGATTCCCCAACAATCTTGGTCTATATATAAATATATATATACATTAGAGGAAGTGCTGCCATCAAAACGAAATTTGGCGCTTTTGAAAACCGCAGATATCCTTGCCTACTTTCCAGATTTTAGCGGCATGTTTTTCTGTCCGCTCTCTCAGGAGCATGTGTT